TAAAATGCTTGGTCCACTAAAGATACTAATAAAAACATGATGACCTCTCAACACATTGAAACTACTTTTAATTCGTTCATTTGCCCACATTTTGACTGCAGAACTGTCTTGTTCAACACAGCTCCTAAATATCTTCTTAAAAGACTAGACTGGTTGTATTATCAAGCTGCATTACATTGTTCTGGCTGCCTTCATGGAAGCAGTTTTGAAAAAGTGCTTTCACAACTTCAGTGGCCTTTCTTAGAAACCCGGAGAAAAATTCAAATTGATAATTTTATGTGCAAAATAGTTAAAGAGAGAATCAGATCTAGCTAGCAGCCCAACAATTTTTTTTTTCAATTTTAGAATATTTCTGGCTCATGTCATTCCTTTTTATGTCTATTTTCTTAAAATCACCGGATCTGATTCTGCCTTTAACGGCTCCAGTTTATATTGATTAAATTCCGTAACCCTTGGGGTCGTAATCTTCGTGAACACCATGAATTTAGGATTTAGAAACCTATTGCAAGTCTGCTCTTCCTGCTTTGTAAAACTCTTCAAACCTTCAAACAGAAGCAAAAATAACTTTTCTCGGATCAACCTCAAACTATAACTACAAACCAACTTAACATCACAAGAAGACATGAAATTATCATTAATCTGATCTTCTGTTTAAAGCCCAGCTATATGCATTTACATGAAACATAGAGAACAACTTTTTTTATCTTTTTTTATTTAGATTTTATTTATTCAGGGATATCTAATAAGAAATACATATGTTTTCTTGTTTCCATTAGAACCCTGCAGACACACATACACACTACATTTAACAATAAAATATGTGACAATACATATCATAAAATTAGAAATTTGTAAAAACAGTACATTAATATGTGTAAAAATACTATATGACTAGTCGATAAAAATAAGCATTAAAAGTAATTGTCACACTTGACATTTGAGCATATTAAGACATGTAAAATTACAATTATTCACTAATTGAAGCAAGGAATTGCTTTTTTAGATGAACTTTAAAAGATTTCACTGAGGCAGATTCCTTTAAATCTAAAGGTGCCTTGTTCCAGAGAACAGATGCTCTGTGACTAAAAGTTTGTGTGCCTGCATTATTACAATTTTGTTTAATAAAAATACATTTGTTAGTTGTAGCACGAGTACCATAGTTGTGAGTGTCCTTAGTTAAGGTAAAACTGTCCTGCATATAAGTGGGAACCAGTCCATTCACTACCTTATACATTAGTGTCAGGTTGTGCATGTCCTGCCTCTCTCTTATGGATGGCCACTTCAGAGTATTTCTAACATCCTGGGATGGGGTACGTGGGGCACATTTAACTATCAATCTACCAGCAAGGTTTTGGAATCTCTGAATTTTATCTAAGAGTTGTGAGCTGCATCCAGAGATGACAGCATCACCATAATCAAAAATGGGTGTGATGGTAGATTGGATTAAAAGTTTGGTTGTATTGAGGGTAAGAGAATCTCTCACTCTCCCAATGACCCCTAACCTTTGTGACAATTTTGTACAAGTTTTGGTTATATGTGTTTTCCAAGTGAGTGTTGGATCAAACCACAAACCAAGATATTTGAAAGCGTCGACTTGTTCAATTTTTTCTCCATTTATGACTATGTCGTCACTTTCATCTACCTTTGACAGTTTCTGGGATGACCCATACACCATGAATTTAGTCTTCTTGACATTTAATGTTAATTTATTTGAGCACAGCCATTTGTGTACCACATTCATGTCAGCTGTTAACTTTGCTTTAATAGAGTGAATATCTTTGGCATGGTAAAATATGGCAGTGTCATCTGCATAGAGAGTGACTTTGGAGTCTTTAATTTGATTTTGGAGGTCGTTTATGTAGAGAATAAAAAGCAGAGGCCCCAGTACAGAGCCCTGAGGTACTCCATACTCGACTGGTAATGAAGATGACACTTTGCCATTTATACTTACACATTGACTTCGACCAATGAGATAACTGCTGAACCAAGACAATTCTTTGTCTCTGACACCGATGTTTTGCATTTTCACGAGCATTAGGTTAACATCGACGGTGTCAAAGGCTTTTTTCAAATCAAGATATACTACACCCGTTAAAAGCCCATTTTGGGTGTTGTTAAGTATATAATCAGTAACATTTACAAGTGCGGTCTGCGTGGAATGTTTGGGCCTGAAACCCGACTGATGAACAGCTAAGATATTATTGTCAGTCAGGTAAGTATATAATTGATTGTGTACAAATTTTTCAAATACTTTTAGACAGACTGGTAGAACAGATATTGGTCTGTAGTTTGAAGTATTCAAATTGGAGCCATCTTTATAGATTGGCGTAACTTTAGCCTTCCTCCACTGATCAGGTATTTCCCCTGTCATTAGAGAAAGGTTAAAAAGGGTTGTCAGGGGGATAGATATCTCGGGGGCTGCAATTTTTAACAATCTTCCCGAGATACCATCCGTTCCCGTTGCCTTTTTGGCAGACAAGTTCAGCAGCTGCTTTTGGACCTCTTGGTACCCAAGTGGGGAGAATGTGAATTTTGACTCACAGGTGGTGTGCTTAGAGGTTACCTGAACAGGGCTGAACTTCTCCGCGAATTTGCTACCTATTGTTGAGAAAAACATATTGAAAGCAGAGGCAATGTCTTTATCATTTGCAATAGTATTACCATCTACCTCTAGGGCAGCAATTGTGGTCCCTTTAGAGTTTGGCAAAATTTTATTAATAGTGGACCAGAGACAATCAGATTTTGACATGTTTTCAACTATAAGATTATGAAAATAGCATGATTTTGCTTTTTTGAGCTCAGTTGTTACCTTGTTCCTAATTATTTTGTAGGAGTTAAAGAGAGATTGCTGAGTCTCTTTACCTATTGCCTTGGAGGCTTTCTTTTTCAAGTAATCTCGACCTTGCATGAGCTTCCTTATGTCATCGTTCATCCACGGTATGCTATCAGATCTTATTTTACACCTGCGCAAAGGCGCATGGATTTCGCACACAGCACTGAAGAACGATGCAAAGGTTTCCCATGCAATGTTAACATTACTTGCAGATAAAAATTTAGGCCAGGGAAAAGCTTTTAAGTCAGCCAAAAATTCAGTTTTTGAAAGATTCTTGAAGTTTCTACAATAAATATGTTTACTTGGTGGCCTTTGTACATTCATATCTATGTTACAGTAGATCAAGTAGTGGTCAGTTATGCCAAGGGTGTACACCCCCCCCCCCCCCTATGACAGGTTTATTTGAGTCAGCAAATATGAGATCGATTGTGGTTGCTGACGAAGGGGTCACTCTTGTGGGTTGCTTGATAAGTTGTTGCAGTCCAAGTTCATTTGTGATTTGGGTGAGATCATCCAGGGCATTTGTTGATGCATCCAGATTAAAGTCCCCAAGTAAATATGTTAGAGATTGTGTTGTCATTTTAATCTGGGATATGGAGTTCGAGAGATTGTTGTACCAGTCTATAATGACTGGTCCGGGTGGACGATAAACACTACCGATTGTAATGTGTTTGGTGTTCGGGATCCTGATTTCAGTCCAGGTAAGTTCTAGGTTGTTGGTGTTTATATCAGGACGATCAAACGCAGCGATTGTGTTCCTCACATAGCATGCAACACCACCGCCATGCCGGTTTCGATCCTTCCGAGAGATAAGGTTATATCCAGGTATATGAAGTTCAGTGTTATTTATACGTTCATCGAGCTTAGTTTCAGATAGACAGAGGACATGGATAGAGTCATTAGCTAATGCCTGTTTCAGATGGTCGAGGTGTGCAACAAGGCTATTAATGTTATATGCAGCGATAATAAGCCCCTTTTTACCCAATTTTGGGATTGAATACGAAACATCATCATCGGTTCCTGTATGTTCAGTATTAGTTAGAATGTTAGAAATTACATCTGGTACAGTATTTGGAATCGTAGGGGCTACACATTTGTTACAAATATGGCCTTCAGTACTGTTAGAAAGTTCAAAATATTGGTTGGTGGACATGTTTAAACATTTTCTATGAGTCCATAGCTCACACATATCACAAAGTAGGCCATGTTGGTTTTTCCGTACTCCTTTGGCGCACACAGTGCACGGAAATTTGTATTTAATGGGTCCAGGGTTAGTGGAAATGTCTCCTGATATCAATAATGTAAGTAAGGAGTAATAAATCCCTGGGTTTACATAGTAATTGGTACGTGAAGTGCTACTTCCGGTTTGGTTTTTGGCGGCAGAAATTATATTGTCCCATATTATCGCCCGGGACAAGTATCCAGTGGGATTACAGTCACTATGGTATGTTTTACTGCCAGTATTGTACTTAGATATAGGGTATATGTACTCATACTCGAATTGTGACAGTTCTTTTTCAATGCACTGGTCACTGGCACAAATAATACTAAAAAGATGTGAGATAAAAATAATTCCGTTCAAACCTGAGGCCATTTCCGGTATATATAAGAATTACATTCTGCTTGCTTTGACACAACAGTTGGGGGGGGGGGCTTTATTCCACTGAGCAGCCAAACTAATAATATAGAAGTAATTTCTAAAAAAGTCAAACATTTAGAAGATTTTGGAAAAAACGTGTATCGATATTTGGGACTTCCTTTCGAGCATATCGATATATCGAGCAATCATGGGACTCCTCGTAGAAACATCTCAAATATCAGATGATCCCAGATGAAACGGTTTGACTGGAAACCTGAAGATGCCCACCTGACAACCCACTTGACTGCTGACCACCCTCCCGGCAAACTGATCACAATGTAGCACTCAGGGGTGTGATAAAAATCAAAAGCACAAGCAGATAAATGAACATTGATTTTATTTGACTGAGTTATACATGTATTACAGTTACATGTATAATTACATGTCGTGGCCAATGGAACCACTTCTCAAATGAACTTCTAGAACTTGTTTACAACCAGTTTCTGTTGCATAAGATTATATAAAGACATCTATCTCGAGGTAGAAGTCTTTGGATTAAAGTAGCATGAGTCAGAGTAAATTACCTACCATATTTTCTTGCCACGCTTTAGAAGCTTTTTTAGGTTGTTTTTTACGGTGGCAGAATAGGACAAGACATCCAATTACCGTCAGAAGTACAAGTCCCAGTGGAACAATGATCAAATATAACAGGTCCCCAGATTTCACGTCAGGCGCTATAACATACAACATGATCAAAAAATCAATTCCATTTAAAAATGTTTTCTTTATGCATGTTTCAGTACAAATCAATTGTTTTATTACGTTATGCAAACCTAGTGTACAGGGTGTTTCATATATATGCACCCCCCATTAACTCATACATATTGCCACCGTATCATGTTATATATCATTTTGTTCCTTATGGAAAGTTACATAAGATTGCAATGTTTCAGAATCCAAGGGTGTCCCTGAAAAAAAGATACAACATTTCAAAATTTGTAGGTACAGGGTCATTTAGAGGGAAACTTCTGGTCATTTATGGACTGAGTCTGGTGATCTGTTCACTTTGTCTCATACCCATTTTTCAGGCCTGTCAACTTGGGAACACCTAACATGAGTGACTTACAAATGTTGAATACCTTCCTTCAAATTGTGGACACCTTGGTCCAAAACTGAACACCTTGGTCAGAATATCAGGCACCTCAATTTTTCCCACTCGCTGACACTCAAGTTGGAGGTTGGGGGAGGTACAAAACCAGAACAACGGCAACGCCAAAGTGAAGCGAATCCCATCGAACAGAAATCACCCAAAATTTCATAAGACAGTATGCAATCCTTATGAGTATTAAAATATCAAATATGAACAAAATCGCTCTATTACTTTTTGAGTTATGATAAGAAATGTAAAATAACACATAAAAATGGTGGCCATTTTTCAAAATGGCCGACTACTCCCAAAAGTTTTATTAGACAATGTGCCATACTTAAAGTATTCACATATCAAATATGAACAAAATCACTCCATTAATACTTTTTGAGTTATAGTAAAAAATGTAAAAATGGTGGCCATTTTTCAAAATGGCGGCCTACTACCCAAAGTGTCATTAGACAGTGTGCCATGCTTATAGTATTCACATATAAAATATGAAAAGTCTGAAGGGAATGCGTTCACTTTTTTGGCATTCATTTTTTAAGTATCAGCGTTCATTTTTTGAAGTTCTTTTACAGAAATGTTTTTGATTGTGTTATGGTCTATGACAGATAATGCGAAGACAATAGACAAAGATTAATTAATGTTTTCAAAATCTATTTACAAAAACAAAAAATAAAGAGATTACAATGATATAAAGGTAATAATTAAATGGATTTCAGGGAGGTGTCCACAATCTCAGCGTAGATTAATATCCTTGATTAATCCTCGATTATAAGTTCAATATCCAAAGACGAGATGATTCCAAAATGTTCCAATGATAAATTGTTCCAATAATTGTTAATTAACACTAGGGGAGTTCATTTGTACTGAAAGGAGCGTTTTTGCAAACATTAGCTTTTTTCTACCCAATTTTACCGTTCAGTTTAAACTTGCATCATTGTCACAAGACTTTCATAAGTGGATATTATAATACATTATTTTCATTCAGTTTTTGAACCGTAGTTGCTTAAAATACATGTGTATGCTTATAAAACAAATTCATTTCTTCTTCAGCCTGTCCATCATATGGCTCAATAAGCCCACCTTCTGATCGGATTATTTGCTTAAGACATGAAAGTCACTGGCATAATTGATGGATCTCTGCGGGAGTACCATCCAGAGCTCCTAATTATTTGTTCTTTCAGTTTGTCTACATCCCTGATCTAGCTAGGGATCTTCATAGATATGCATGTTATCAACAGGATAGAATCAGTAAGCAAGAAGAGTGGCATTTGCCATAAAAGGCTACTCAAATCGAGATGACATTTTTCTGAAAAGGTAGTGGTGTCACTCGGTGATTTCAAATAAGGAAAGACCAACCCTGTTTTTCTTGAACCAGGAGCAAAAGGAGAACCCCTGATAAGGAGAGCTTTTTAAAAGGTCATTGCTTTTTTATTCTGGATGTGATCATTATGGAAGTTCAACAATACCTCAGAGATGATCTTAGATATTGGGTGATCTTAGATATTCCCAAAACCAACATGTGTGATATAAAAATTGCTTTTTAAGAACATTTTTTGCAAGGCAATGAACTCGTTTTTTAAGGTTAGACTCTTTATTTGTGGTTAAAATCCGTGTATGGCCTGGTAGGATAGGAACAGAGTGTCACAATTATAAGATAAGTTCTATTTGAACTCTTAGAAAATAAAAGATATCAATGGGAGTTTTCCTAGAAATATGTTTTTGAGACCCTTTACACTCATGAGAATGACGGAATAATGGAACCAATTCGTAAAAAATACTCAAAATATATTTCTGGTGGAGCGCCCATCGATTTCTTTACGAAAACTTAGACTTCGCTTCATTATGTTACTTAGCCACATTCTATTTTGCTCGTACAGTAATGGGAAAGTTATTCATTTTAAGCAAAATGTAATGGTTAAATATGGAAAATTGAATTTTATCACTTCACAAAAACTGTTCTTCAAACGCACGTTGTAATAATTCAAAAAAGATATTTCAGGATGTATAAATTCACCCCATTTCTAAAAGTATGCTAACATTTCATGATGATCACTTCCAGAATAAAATAGTTGTGTCCTTCTAAAAAGCTCTCCTTATCGGGGGTTCTCCTTTACTCTGAATATTACTGAAATGAGGTGTTAGAAAAGGTTACTCCTCAAAGATATAAAAAACATGTGAAAGAAATTTCATTTTCTGATAGAACAGTGCTCCATCACACAGGTCCAATGCTACCCTGGAGTTTTTGGAGATTCGAAAATGTCTAGCCTAGACAAATGGCTTACTGGCAGTCCAGTGGGGACATCTAGAACAGTTGGTCTATAAAGATACCCAGCCTATCAAGGATGTAGAAGAACCAAAAGAAAGAATAACTAGATTTTGGAAATTGAACGAGTTCAATTTCAGACTCCAGATCTAGACTTTTTTTAGCCGAGTCATCTAGAATAAGCCGAGTCATCCAGAATAAGCTGAGTCATCCAGAAAAAGATGGATAAATAAAATAGAAGGTAGGATAGGATAGAATAGGAAAGAACGATAGGATAGAATAAGAAAGAAGGATAGGATAGAATAGAATAGGAAGAAAGGATAGGATAGGATAGGAAGGATAGGAAGGAAAAGATACAAAGGAAGGATAGATAGGAAGGATAGGATGAGATAGGAAGGATGGATGAATTTTTCAATATTTTCTTCTCTACTCTTGACTTTTTATCAGGATACCATCAGATCGTTTTTTCTCGAAATTTCAAAACGCCATAATTTCCGAACCGGAAGTCGGATCGAAATTTGGTTTGCATATTCAGATTTCTGACAAAATTCTATCCCTAATTCATAACTCATACGTTAAATTTGGAGATTTTTTATTTTGACCTACTTTTCGGACACGCCATAACTTCCGAACCAGAAGTCGGATCGAAATTTGGTTTGCAGATTCGGATTCCTGACAAAATTCCTTTCTTTATTCATAACTCATATATTAAATTTGGAGAACTTTTTATTTTGACCTACTTTTCGGACACCATATCTCAAAAGTGGGTCAAAATACTTTCTGACGGCAAAAAGCTAACACTATAAGCATATTCTTGGCTACATGTATACAAAATTTCGAAGAATATAATTAAAGTGTAGTGTCAGAATCGAAAAAATAAGGAAAACCTATGAATTTGACCTAGATTTTGACCTAGGCATTTCGGTGTCCAAATTTTGAAGCTAGATGGCTTTTGAGGTCCCCTTCTTTTGAAGGCTTTGATTATATGAAGCTGAACTCAGTCTATATTCCGTATTTTTCACTTCAAAAAAATATTTTTTCCCATTGACTTAACATGGGCACCAAATTTAGCGATTTTTGAGTTTTCAAAACGCCATAACTTCCGAACCGGTAGTTTGATCGAAATTTGGTTTGCAGATTCAGAATCCTGAGAAAATTTCCTATAAGACTAATATCCTGGACATTTGATTCGGAGAACTTTTTTTTGGACCTCGCTTTCGGACACTGATATCTCGAAATCGGTTTGAGATATCAAAAAACAAAATTGAACCTAGCTTTCCTACTTTTTTATAAGGAACACAATGAAAAAAACCCGGATCGAAAATATTGAAGGACGACCGAGAAAATCGAAAAAATTGACGAAGTACTGGATTTGACCTAGTTCTTGACCTTTGACCTAGATAAAATTTTGACCCAATTTCCAGAGAACTAGATTCTGAACCTAAATTGACCAAATGATTGACTTTACTGAAGACCTTATGGTTATTGAGAAAACTGGGTTAGAATAATAAGAATAATAATAACTAGACATGTAAATTGAACAAGTTCAATTTAAGACTCCAGATTTCAAGCTGAGTCATCCAGAATCTTGTAAGCTGAGTCATTCAGAATAAGCTGAGTCAGCTAGAATATAGACATTTAGACAACTCTTAAGAATGTTATCTTCGACTCCATTGGCTTAACATGGGGAAATCATCATATCGACTTTTCGAGACTTCAAACTGCAATAACTATGTAACCAGAAGTTGGATTGAAATTTGCTTTAAAGATTCGGATTCCTGAGAAAAATCTACCCTTAATTCATAACTCATACATTAAATTGGGAGAACTTTTTATTTTGACCTACATTTCGGACACCATATCTCAAAAGTGGGGCAAAATACTTTCTGACGGCAAAAGGCTAACACTATAAGCACACTCTTTGCTACCTGTCTACAAAATTTGGAAGCAAATCATCAAAGTGTAATGTCAGAATCGCAAAAATAAGGAAAAACTATGAATTTGACCTAGATTTTGACCTAGGCATTTTTGCGTCCAAATTTTAAAGCTAGATAGCCTTCGAGGTCCCCTCCTTTTATAGGCTTTCAGAATATTAAGCTGTACTCAGTCTATATCTGGTATTTTACACTTCAAAAAAATCCTTTTTCTCATTGACATAACATGGGGCACCAAATTTAGCAATTTTTGAGCTTTCAAAACGCCATAACTTTGGAACCGTTAGTCGGATCGAAATCTGATTTGCAGATTCGGATTGCTGACAAAATTCTACCCCTAATTCATAACTCATACGTTAAATTTGGAATTTTTTTATTTTG